ATCGCTACCTCCTCTCGCCGGCGGCCGCCTCTTCTTCCTCGTCGTCGTCGTCCTCGTCCTCTTCGTCGCCCTCGTCGTCGTCCGCCTCGTCGGCTGCCCCCCAGCCGCCGGCCCCTGCCGCCGCCGCCGCCGCCCCGCCGCCGGCCAGCATGTTCCCCTACCCGGGCCAGCACAACCCGGCGGCCGCCTTCTCCATCGCCAGCCCGGGCCGCTACATGGCGCACCACCCGGTGCTGGCCAACGGCGCCTACAACAGCCTGCTCTCCAACTCGGCGCCGCAGGGCTACCCGGCCGCCGGCTACCCCTACCCGCAGCAGTACGGCCACTCCTACCAGGGCGCGCCCTTCTACCAGTTCCCCTCCGCCCAAGGCGGCCTGGTCCCCGGCAAGGCGCAGGTCTACCTCTGCAACCGGCCCCTCTGGCTGAAGTTCCACCGGCACCAGACCGAGATGATCATTACCAAGCAAGGCAGGTAAGCCCCGGGAGAGACCCGCCGCCGCCCGCGGCAACTGCAGCAGCGGGCACCGCGCAACTTTCCGGGGGCTGCCCGTCTCAGACGCCGAGAACCCGCCGGAGAGGTCGTGTCCCCCCCCCACCCAAGGCAAAAAAGCCTTTTTTTTTCCACTGCAAAAAAAAATTTGCCTTTTATTTCATTGCCTTTTTTTTTTGGCCGGCCACTTTTGAAAATGCATTTTTCTCCCATTGGGACTTCTTCTTCTTCTTTTTCTTCTCCCCACTTTGGGGATTTTTTCCCTGTTACGCCGGTCATTAAATACTGGGTCTTTTTAGGATTTCTTCCTCGCGTTCTGCTGCGGGCAACGGAGCGACGTCAGGCTCGTAAAGGCGCTGGCTAAGCCGGCGAGCGGGGAGCTTTCGTCTTCGGCCCCTCTGCGCCCTCGGAGGCCGGCGGCAGCGCCCGGAGGCCCGGCATCTTCCGGGACGCGCCCGGGGACCGCAGTGGGGCTCGCTTCCGAGGAAATGCCCTGGCGCGCCGAGGACAGCCCGCGGGGAAACGGGGAAGGAGTCCTCGGGAGCCAGCCCCACTGAGGAGCCGGGCAGAGCGGCAGGCAGCCGGCTGCAGCTTCGCCCTCGGCGCGCGGGGCCGCTTTCCTCCCCGAGCCGGAGGAGGGACCCGAGGGGCAGCTGTGGCCCAAGCTCCCGGGGCTCCCCTGGGGCCCGCCTCCGCCGGCCGGCAGCTCTCCATCGCCAGGACAGTCGGCGGACCGGGGCGGGGACGGGGAACGGGAAGGATTCGCACGGGCTCGGAAGGAACTTTCGGGGTGGGGGGCGGCTGGAGACGGGCAGGCGTAGATCAAGTTTCCTCCCTACATTTTTGTGACTATAGGTACGCTTTCCTCCCTTTACGCAAAGCAAAAACCCAACGACCTTTCCCTCCCGCGTTCCTCCCTCAAACAGGCGAATGTTCCCTTTCCTGAGTTTCAATATCTCCGGTCTGGATCCCACGGCGCACTATAACATTTTCGTGGATGTCATCCTGGCCGACCCGAACCACTGGCGATTTCAAGGCGGCAAGTGGGTGCCCTGCGGCAAGGCGGACACCAACGTGCAAGGCAAGTCCTCCGCTCCCAATTAACACGTCCGAACCTCGGCACACGCACACACACGCACACACAGGCGCACACAAACACACACCGCGGCCGAGGTGCGAAGGCTTAATTAAAGGGACACAAAGGAAGGGGGGCCGCTGGGGGGGGGGCGTCCGAGAGGGCCGGAGGGTATTCTTGGAGCGGGGAGGGGGGGGATATTTTGAATCCTTTCCCGGCTTAGATTTCGAGCGAAAACGGAAGGGGCCCTCCGGGGATTTCACGGAGGCGAGACGGCCTCTCTCTCTCGCTCTGGCTCTGCAACGCCTCGGTTTTCGCTTCCCCAACGCGCCTCTCTGCAGGGAACCGCGTCTACATGCACCCGGACTCGCCCAACACGGGAGCCCACTGGATGCGCCAGGAGATCTCCTTCGGCAAGCTGAAGCTGACCAACAACAAGGGCGCCTCCAACAACAACGGGCAGGTCAGTGGCGCCCCCCAGATCCCCCCCCCCGCCCGGCCAGGCCTTCCGGCTACTCCCGTGGGGAGGGGGAGCTTCGGGCCTTGGGGAAGGTGGTGTTGTGGGTCGGGTTTTTAAATTTATGGTTTTTTAAAAAGTGGAATCCCGATCATCCCAGGGGGGGACGGACGACCCACCATCTCCCCAGTTCCCCCTTTTGCGACGGAGCGCAACGGAGGCTTTCGCCACCGCGGCGGAGTTGGGAGGAACAAAGAGGGGCTTCGCGGGGAGGGCGGCGGGGCTCTTGCCCGGCCAGGCACCGCGCGTGTTTTGCCCCGCCCGGATCTGATGTCCCTTCTTCTCTCCCCCCCCCCCAATTCCCCTCGGACCTCTCCCCGCACCCCCCCCCGCCTCCCGGCAGATGGTGGTCTTGCAGTCCCTGCACAAATACCAGCCCCGCTTGCACGTGGTGGAGGTGAACGAGGACGGCACGGAGGACACCAGCCAGCCCGGCAGGGTGCAGACCTTCACCTTCCCGGAGACCCAGTTCATCGCCGTCACCGCCTACCAGAACACCGATGTAAACAGCTCCCTTGGCTTTCGTCCCCTCCGCTCCCCCCATCCCCTTCCTGGTCGCTTCCAGGGTCGGAGAGCCGCGCGGGGGGGTTGAGTCGGTTTGAGCCCCAGCATTGGCCCGGTTTCGAAGCAGCGCTTCCAAGAGCCCTCCGGGCCCCGCTCTGGGTTTGCTCCTTCCCTGAGCTTGGGAGCATCTTGAGAGAGCGTGGCCCCGGTCCCTGAGGACACCAAGCGGCCAGGACTCCCCGCTTTAGGCTGACAAATGTATAACCCCCCACACACACACACATATACACGCACGCACGGGCACCCTGCAGCTCCCGCTGCCTTTGTCTGCGCGCCCGGATCTGCTGGGACCGCGCTTTCTTCTGCAACCGTTGAGTGTTTCCTTTCCCCGTTTACATACTCGGGGTTCGCCTCTGCAAAGACACCCGGTTGTTCCCAGGCGCCAGCACTGATCGGAGGAAAAGGGCGGGTGGCCTGGAAAAGAGGGCTTGAAACGGTGCCTAAATCCGCTGGGATTTTTGTGATATATTCACCAAATGTATACAATTGCTTTTTTTAAAAAAATAGCACCAGGGAAGGGAGGATGTCTTTTCCTTTCCCGACCGCTCCGCCGTGGGAGCCGGGGTCCCTGCCTCTCCGTTCGGCCTTCCTGCCCGCTCTCGCTCTTTTCTCGCTCGAATGCCAATATGTTCCCCGTCTGCATGTCTTAGAACTGGCTGCCAGCCGTGTCGGCCACGTGACGAGGCGTTACTAGCCCCTGGCGGCCCCGATCCTCTGCATGTTTAGCCGGGAGGGGGGCGCTTTAGTCTCAAAGAAAGGTGCACGGGATCGGGGCCTTGCCGTGTGCTCTCGATTGGCTGCTTGCATCGCTATCCACGCCAAAAGAATAGTCATGATAATAAATCTCGCAATGTTGTTGCCAATTTCAGCTGCCCAGAATTATATTTTAAGTTTCTGGTGTTCATAATACGCACCCCCCCCCACACACACACCTTAAAATCAATATTCCTTTCTAGCATAGGGTAGTAGAGAATTAACCCCCCCCTCATCCCAATTAAACGACAGAATACTTTAGAATATATATTTGTCTCTCGTGTGGAATTTGGTTGTTTTTTTCTTCCTTGGAGGAAGGACTTTTGACTCTCCACTTTCCTCTTGGCCTAGATCACACAGCTGAAGATCGACCACAACCCCTTCGCGAAAGGCTTTCGAGACAACTACGACACGTAAGTGAGACGGCCTCGGGTCTCCCCGTGTTGCTGCTGCGGCATTTCGAGATGGTCGCTCGGGAGAGTTTGCCGGCCTCCCTGGGGAAAGAGCGCTTGCCGAAGCGGCTGCCACCCGGGCCTGTCGCCGCGGCCGCCTCGCCTCTCTTGGGAGGAACCGGCCCTGTAGGCTCCGAGGAGAGGGTGGGCGAGGCCGTCTGGCGAGTACTTTCGGGAGGGCTGGGACTGGGAGGCGAAATCAGGCCCGCGCTGGTTGGCCTTGGGGCGGAGGAAGGGGGAGGCGGCTGGCACCCCTTTTGCTGAGCCGGCGGCCGGCTCTCACCCTCGGCGGGCGCTCCGTTCCCTGACTCGGTTTCCTTGTGCAAAAGGCGGCAGTATGCGTGGCAGAAGGAAGGAAAGGGGCTTTCGGCAGGATCCCGAATGTTTGTGGAGGAGGTCATTAGTGATTCGTTTGGCTGATCACGCTGGATTCTGGCCCCTCCTTCGAGGGCCTTACCTTCTTCAAAAATATTGGGGAGCGAAAGCAACCTGTCCACAAGCTGGGCGAGCTTTCGGGGCCCAGAAGGCTTCGGCCCCATCTCCTTTTGATTCCATAATGGGTGGCTTATGGGCTAATACCTTGTGTCTTGTTTTCCTGTGGTGTTCCTTGGGCAATTTGATCTCTCAATAGTTGACCCTAGACCCTAGCGTGGGGTTTTTTATTTTGGGGGGGGGTGGATCTATAGAGGGCTGCATGCTCAGCTGTGCGATATGGAAACACTGACGCTAATAATTTTCATAAACGCGGTGACGGGGTAGAGATCCAGTTGATGGAGTCAGAGCCAGAATTCGGCCTAACCAGAAATTTGCCATAAAATTGTTCTCTGAGGTCCCTTTCCCACCAAACGCTATGAAAACCAGGCGTCACCAGCGCCTCAGGTCAAGAAACAGTCCTGGCCTTTTATTGGACCTCCCTCGACAGCCACAGAGCAGCGCAGGTTTTCTGAGCGACACCAAATTCTGGGTAATTTCAGAGTTTGCGCGAAGAAAGGCGAGCTTTCCTAAAGGACTTTAGACGTGATCTTTGGACGTCTATTCCTAGACTCCCCATTTGTTTAGAGTAATAAACTCTGCATTAGACTCTCCCCAGTACCCTAAGCGGTCGTGGACATCCCTAAAGAGCCTGGGTTTCCCTGTAGGCGTTTAACAGCTTAAATCGGTCTAAGAGGAAAACTGCCTCTGATTTCTTCCGACTCCCCCTTCTCACTTTGAGAATAAAACCCGAGGCGGCCCCCTCCCCTGAAAAGACTCCACTCTTGCCCTTCACCTCCACTGGGGAGTGGACAAACAACACCCGGATCTGGCGCAGAGGCCGCTGGATTCGAGGCCGCCATTGGAAGAGTCGCCGACCTAATGGGGAAAGGGTAGCTGTCCATGGTGCTGAAGCGCCGGCGAACTCCGGCAGGCGGGAGACGCGGAAGTAGGCAACAAGACTAACTCCCAAATAACTGTGAACAGGATTGTAGGTTGCAGTCGGACTGTGGGCGTTCCTCCGGGCCTTCTGAGGCTTTGAAGGAGGGGGTATCCAGATCAGAATCGACTCTGTGTCTCTGGGGTCTGGTCTTCTGGGAGGGACGCAGTCACCCTGCTAGGGTCTTTCTAGAACCGGCTCCGCTGAAGAAGAGCAGAGGGATCTTTCCTAAAACACAGACCTCAAACATATAACTTCACGCTGGAGTCTACATTTTAGGAACGACCACACGCACACAGAGGCCCCTTGTTCAGTGAAGCCGGTGGAGACATCGCTTTCGAACCAAACTTTAGAGTTTAGACCAGTAGCCACAAACCCTTCAAGGAGCGAAGTCAATTTACGTCTGCGGATCTAGTTCAGAATAAAGCAAGGCAGCTGAAGCAGCAGCAATCCAGCGCCTTAAATTTGCTTGCAGCACACGCTGGATCATTCGGGGAGGGGCCGCTCAGAAGGTTAATTCAAGCACGAATCTGGCTGGGAATCCATAAACTTACATATATAGTATATGTGATGGCGCTGATCGGTTTCTAAAGACTTTGCCCGTATAGACTGTGGCGGAGTACTGTAGGCCTGTTCCTAGAAGCACACCATTAGCTTCCACGCGGCTTGGTTCCGTTTTTACACGACCGGGGTGAACCCTCTCCGCCCCTTATTGAGACTATTTTGTGTGTGTGTGGTGGGGTCAAGTCCCATCCCAATTACGGGGGCGCCCTAGGGTTTTCGAGGCAAGAGACGTTCCGAGGTGGTTCGCCATTGCCTGCCTCTGCCTAGCAACCCCGGCCTTCCTTGATTGTCTCCCATCCTAATACTGATCAGGGCCGACCTTTCGGCGATCGGGCTAGCCTGGGCCATCCAGGTCAGGGCTATGGAGACCTTTCGCTTTCTCTAAACGAAGGGGTAATATAAACGGGCCCGATCGCAAGAGCGACGCGGCCCCTCCCCCCTCCTCAAAGGACGCCCCAAGAAACAATGGCTCGTCAACAGATCCGTGCCAAAGCCACTCATTACCGCCCGGGCGCTGTCAACACCAAGACGTCACTGGAGCGGCAAAATAGGCAGGCGAGTGTCCAACAATCGGGGCTCCTTCCGAGTGAAGAGAGCCCCCGGGCAAGGAACCGGCAGAGGTCCCGCGTCCTCCTAACCTGTTAGCGACTCTGAGCTGCGAATCCAGGGCAGGTAGCTCGCCCGGATTGATTCTTCCAGGCGAAAGGAGGGGGCGATCAAGTGCCTGCCCCCTTGAAATGCCCTCCGCGGGCACTAGACGAGTGGAGCGCTTTCAATTTGACTCGCAGCCTCGGCGGCGGCTGCCTCTGGCCCTGCCACTCGCCTGCGTTAAGCCGTCTATTCAGAGCGCTCTGCGGAAGGCTTTTGCCTGCTGTTTGTTGCAAATGGCCCCCGAGTACCTGTTGAGTGTATTTGGGCTTCGGTCAATTGGCCACACTGGCAGACTTATTCTTGGAGGACGGGCGGGGGGCCTTGTTTAAAATTAAATATAAACGCCGTCCTAATCTTTACACACTGCTAGAGCGGGTTTTTTTTTAATGGAAAAGACCCGCATCTGGCAAAAGGAAACCGGTCTCTGTATATTCTCATGCCTTTAAAGCCTTTTTGATATATATATATATCGGGGGTGGGGAGTATATGTACTTTAGTGAGCCTGACGTAATTCAATGTTTCCTTGTCTGGGTTAGTTATCAAGCAGATGAGGACTCAGTTGATTGGATCCTGGGCTCCAAGCCAGGCAGCGATCCTCTTCCTCTCTGGATCTCCAGGTGCGCTGCCTTGTCTGAAGCTCTAGGGCTTCTCCAGGGGTTCGTTTGGTTTTAAGGGACTGGCCTGTTTACTGTGGGAGGTTCCAGGTCACTTTCAGGGCGCTGGGCCTTCAGGTTGTTGTTGTTTCCCCCTGCCTAGTCTCCTAAACCTCCCAGACAGATTTAGGAAATCCAGATTCTTCTGTGTTCTTAGTTTGCAGAATGAAATGGCTCCATTTCCAGAAACCCCTCCCCCTCCCATTTAACTGCCCAGGGATTCGATTAACAGTCTCGAAGGTGGGGGGGGGCTTCTTGAGCAGAGGTCTCTGCAACAGGAGACGGGCCTTCTGCTCCTGTGGTGTTCTGGAATGAAGGATTCGGAAGGTTTGAAAGAAGGGGATTCTGGTGCTCTAGAACAAGGAGGGTCTCCCAGAACAAGACACATCTGGCCACACACAATTTTGGTTATTTTGGGTCCCCCCCCCTTTCCGGCTCCCCCCTTTCCCAGTTTTGCCCCGCCTCTCTTCTGGGCTTCTCGCTTTTAGATTCCAGAGACTTAAGAACTGTCAACACTCGCCATTCATTCTGCCCCCCCCCCTCCGAACATGCAGAATACTTAATTCGAATCCTGGCTCAAGTCATGGCCAGCGATCTCT